AAAATTTTATTTAAATATTTTAAAATTTAAAAAATATAGATCATAAGCATATTTTTAACAATTTTTCAGACAAATTTGCCTAGAAAAGCTTACAAATTAAGGAATAATATATATAATATAATTGGGATTGTAAGTATAAAGTTATTAAGCATAACTTTGTTATATAAATATCAAGTTACTGCACAATGATTTAATTGGCTATTATATAATGGTAAACCAATTTTTCAATATGTGTCTGAATTATAAATAAATCAGATTTTAAGATCAGATATAATCAAAAAATTTTAAAAAATGATTATTTTGTTAAAATTGGTTTTTAAAAATCAGCATAAGAAATCATTTTTAAAGTTTTAATAAAAAGTTCTGCTAGGCAATTTTACAATCTAATTACTCTTTTTTAATTTCCAATGCTAACCCTAACTTAACATTAACGAACTTTAAAGAATTTTTGCTACACCACAAACTTGGCACACATTGAAGAATTGCAATTATATAATTAATTGACATTTTGGCTCTGCATTCCAGTTGGTTTACTAGAGATTTCACAAAACACGTATATTGATTAAAAAATTTTTTATAATCCTTGAGGCATGCCCCATGCACCATAAGAAGGGCATGCCCAAATATTTTCCTGTGCCACAACCCTAAACACGATCAGGAAGATCAAAATAAAACGTTCGTTTTTTCAAAAATCGCATATTTCTCAAAAGTTAGTATAAGAAGCCACTTTTTGTGCACTAACAAAAAAATTTACTTGAGCAATTTTACTATAACTTCCGCTAACGCCTAGCCATATTAGAGACACTAACTTAAACGAACTTAAAGATTTTTTGCTACGTTACAAATATCGTCACGTGACAGCAACTTTTTTACGATCATCACATGGATAATTTTAATTGAGTTACCATTTTCTGACTCCTCTATCACCAATCTGATTTAACATTCAAAATCAGATGTACTGTAACATAAAACGAATCTAAATAAATGCAACCAAACCCTAACTTTAACGCTGCCTTATTAGAAACCGAGCCGATTCAATCCTACACTGACCATATTAATAAGATATCTTAAAATTGGCCTAATCCAAATCCTAACAGTGCACAAAATTTCCGGGGGATGTAACCTACTTTTTTTGTCGGCAATTTCTTTTTTTAATTTGAGATTCAGGTACGACCAATAAAATTTGTCAGAGTAATATAAATTTTCCGACTGATGGAAATCTCTGGCATTTTACAATGTGATAGGTTTTGTGCTCTGAATCCTGATATCCTGATATATAATAACGATAATAAAACATAAATGCTTTTTATTTATTTACGTTACACACAATAGCATCGTCGCAGTAATCTTTCACCACAATACGTACCAATACATACTTATCAAATACTACGTACATCTATAAATCTAAATTATGACACAAGTAAGTCAGTCATAGCTTTGACGTTAATTTGAAATAATTATTGTATCGGTAAATATATACAATTAAACTTGAGCAACAAATTTCAAATTTTTTTTTTAAAAAACAAATTTTTTTCAACTATTCAATGATTTACACCAAAAGACAAATAAAGATTTTGTAACAATATACAAGAATTTTAATTTGTTTAATGTTTACAACATTTGTAATGTTTAATACAATGTTGGTTTTTTTGAGATCCAAATTTATCATTTGTGACATTTGAATATATTTCGTATGACAAAAAAAGAGGTTTAAACATAACAATTACGATTTTAATTATTACATTGTTAAATTAAATGTGGATCATAATTGTTATATTAATTTTATATAAATAAATCTATAAGAAAATCGGGTAGGAAGGTTATTTAACATTTCTAATGATAACGATCTTTCATTTCCTAACTTAGGTAAACGAACCGGATTGTTGGAACAGTTTAACATTTTTTGAGAGAGGATACGTTATATTATCTAAGAGAAAGCTTCTTTTTTTTTTTTTAACAAAAATATACATTGAAAGAGCCTGCATATCCCTTAATACATACATTATAATTATTATACATACATTATGATAATGTAATGATTAAACACAATCACCAAGTTTTTTTTTTTCATTTAACAGCCGAATTCAGCTAGAGATAGTGATATCATATTAGACAAGAATAGAAAAGAATATGCAGGAACTCTTTACTAATATCGTTAATTTGAATAACTCATAGCGACAGTAATCCAACACAAATTATACAATTATACCTATTTCGAGTATAAATAATTAAACAAACGCGCCTACCAAAAATAAACATACCCACGAGGTATCTCTTGAGGTGTATACTTTCTTTTTTTAGTTTTACAAGTTATAGCACTATATTAGTTTACATTACAAAATAAAACATTATTGCATTTTAAACAGGGATCATTCATATCGTTTAAACAGTTGATGACAACTTTTTAACCAAGATAGGAAGAGATAAAGAATTATTCAAGTTAAGTTATACTTGTATATGTACAATGTAATTAACAATTTATTAGTGTATTAAAGAAATTAATATAATTAAAATATCTCAAAAAAGTGGGAAAAGTAGAATAAAAAAGCGAGTAAACCAACCTTTTTATTTAATAAAGTTTTAGGTTGAATAAACAAGTAATGATGCACAGCATAGCATACATTTTTGGTGTTACACTGCATTACTTCGTAAGGCTAAAAAAAGAGGACGAAAATACGATATAAACATTTATGCAATGCAGCGAAAACAACACGACTCATGTTTAACAAGTTTTTAAAAGAAAGAAAAATGCATTTACTAATATTTATTTCAGTCTTGTGCAAGCATGAGATGGGTAAATATAAATTTATGTAAACAATGTGTCAATGTTTTATCGAAAAGATGAAACTTACACGTAACTGTTTTTTTTAAAAAAAAAGAAAAAAAAAGAAAAATGAGAAATGAAAATTTTTTTGAACAAAATGAATCAACATTATAATTTAATAATTATGAACCGGAAATTAAATTTTTTTTTTTTTTTTTTTTTTTTTTTTTTTTAAGAAATTTATGGACGAGCAGATGAGTTTATATTTGAGTAACCGAGCCTTGGCACTTGTGTAGCTTACAGACCATAAAAATAGACGTCAGAAACCTTATCAAACCTTTGGTGATTTATTCCTTTCTCCTTTCATCATTTACGGGTTACCAAATTCATATAATTTGTTTACAAGGTGTGTGATCAAAAATGTGCATTTGACATGGTACGGAAGGAAGATTTTTGTTGATCCTTAAACCCGAATTTGCATACGATTTACGTTATGGTCATCCAATAATAAGTTGGCACGACCTTTCGTATACCGTAAAAGTATTAGGCAAACATTTTGTGGTAATTAATGATTGACTGGTATTGAATGAGATTGCTAGATTTGGTGTGAAGAAAAAGCATAAAGATAATGGAGGTTGAAAGTTGAAAATCGACGCTACGTTAGAAATGTCATTCCGTCCATCAAAGATAAAATGAGTTGTTATCAAATTTAGTATAGCAAAATGAAAATTTGAGCTTTAGAAGAAAGGTCGACTATCATTCAAACTTTATTCAACATCCGCAGTAATGAATAGAATAAATAGTACAAGAAATGAACTGAATAAACGAACTGAATAAACTGTATGAAGAAACGAACCGAAAAAGTTAAGGATTATGCACTATAGCATTGGCCTTTCCAAAACATTCATATGATTCAAGTCAAAGATGAACGGTCAAATTTATGATTAAATCTTTAATGATGTATAAGGAAATTGGTTTTATAAAAAAATCTAATAAATAAGTTTATACATATCGATATTAAACATTACTAATTAATTGTTCGCACAATATGCAAACCTTACAATTGTAAAAGTTATTGAGCTTCCTTTTTGTGAACGAATTTCTCATCAATCGCATCATCTGGTCATCCCAACATATTGGTGTGTTACGGTCATCCCAAATCTGGTATGGTAAAATTTTATACTGCTGCTCTACATATTCCCGTTTCTACTTCAATGTTGGATTAAGCGTTACTTTAATACTTTCGTTGATTTCATTGGATTATGCGAGTTTTTTTATAAAAATACTATTTGTGTGGTATTTATATGCGGCTTTGTTGGGTTACCCAATAAACGTTTGAATGTGATGGTTCATGCAACATCAAGTGCATACGTGTATAGTCTCGAAATGGTCAATTGTATCCCCACTCAAAACAGCTTTTCACACAACCTTTGCCACAAAAGGTAATCAAAGTATCAACGATATAACGTATAAATACTTAATATATCGGCCAAAAGATTTGACTTTATCGTAAATCTGGTAAATCGGCCTTTTGAAATTAGGCAGAATTTATCCGCTAGGCCGAGTTTGACTTTGAATTCCGTATATATATCTGTATATGTATTTATATTGTTGTATTTACTCCGGCTTGTCTGACTTGTATTAATTAAATTAATTGTTCATGAATTTTACTGTACTATTTATATGTCGATTGTATCCCGAATGAATAAATTCTTATTATAATTCTACTTTTATTTTATATTTCACCGTACGCCCCTATCCAAATTAAGCCTTGATATTGCTTATTTTATGTTACACCATCATTTGTAGATTTTCTATAAAATACCCCATTCCATCCCCTTTTTTTCAGAAAAAAAAAAAAAAAAAAACAAGAATTATTTGATTGATTTTTGGGTTCCGAGGTACAAACTAAAACTTTGTACAGTCTAAGCAAAAAAAAAAAAAAAAAAAAAAAACATAAATACGACCGAATTCCCTCCAAAACATCTTAAAAGAAAAATTTTTTTTTTTTTTATCTTTTAGTTGTTCATTCCCCTATATTAGTGTAAATTTTATTTTTATTTTATTTTTTTCATGACTCAGGAGCGCGTAAACAACAATAATAATAACTATGCGTTCGTGTTAGAGGATCCTTCTAAACCGAGAAAATATCAACTCAATTTTAACCTTGGCTCCGAATACGTAAAAGAATCAAAGCATATACCGGTTACATCGATGGATCATCATCATAATTCTCTTCAACAGCAACAGCAACAACATAATTTACGTCATGCTGATCTACCGAATCGTCAACCTGTTTCTTCGATCACCCTTCCTTCTATAAGAGAATTGATACCACTTCCTCCTTTACCTTCGTTAAATCATCAACAATCACATCCTCATATTCAACAAGATTCTATACCATTAAATTCAAGGCCGCATCTTCCTCCTTTACAACATTCTATAGAATCACCTCCATCTCAAAACCTTTCTTCATTCAACTATAATCATAATTCATCCAATTCTGTAAATTCTATAAATTCTGTAAATTCTATGAATGACCGCATGAATGATAATCGTACTCAATTTTCTTCAGATGCTGGTCATTACCATCCTCATCATAGTTATTCAGCTAGTAATGGTAATCATTACTATCAACATCCACCTTCCGTCTCTCATCATAATCATCACCACCACGTGTCTCAACAGTCACCTCAGGTGTCTCAGGTGCCTCAAATGCCTCAGGTGTCTCAAATGCCTCAGGTGTCTCAAGCACCCCAGATATCTCAACAACAACCTCCTTTACCGCAGGTAACGCATTCTCATCATCAATCATATCAACCACAACAACCGTCATTGTCACATATACATCAACAGCCGTTACCGCAGAACTCTCATCACGTGCATCACCAGCAACATTTACATCATCATCCTTCGCATCAACCTCATGTATATAATAATGATTTGGTCTCTGAAAGAAGTCAACATGATCATCAATCTTCGGCTTCAGTTGCTTACAATAATTCTCTCAATCGCCAACAATATTATTCTCCAATTTATCCAAATGATAATGGTTCTTCTCAACAAATGATCACTTCTCAACCTTCAAACATGGTTCCTCCTCACGATCATCAGATTTCGGGTGTCAGAAATATCCAAATGGTTGATCATCCTATAGCCCAACAGCTGCAGCAGCAACAACAACAACCTTTACCACAACAGCATGTGCCTACATCTGTTTCTCAAAATGTGGATAGACGTTATCCTGACTCTATTCATGAGCAACATCCTCTTCAACATCCTTCTCAACATCCTCTTCAACATCCTTCACAACATCCTTCTCAACATCCTCTTCAACATCCTTCACAACATCCTTCTCAACATCAACATCCTCAATATTCTCAACATCTTTCTCAACATCTTTCTCAACATCCTTCTCAGCATCCTTCTCAACATCCTTCTCAACATCCTTCTCAACATCCTTCTCAACATCCTTCTCAACATCCTTCTCAACCGGTACAGCAAATGTCTCAACCCTACAAAAAAGCTCAGCCGGTTCCTTTAACTGATCATCAAACTTTGTCTCAAATTCCGTCGTCTTCTCCTAAATTGCACCATTTACAACCTTCTCAACAGCCATCTGTTATGCAATATCCTCATGAACATCGGGAAGCTTCTCCATCTTATTTGGCTCCTCCGCATCAATCTGGAAGTAATTCATCCGTATCTACTCGTTCTTCTTCTCCTGCTCCAAGTACTCCGGTTGCTTCTTCCACAATCCTTTTTTCTACTCATAACAGCCCAAATAGTAACTTGCCTCAAATTGTTGAAAAATCTATTGATCAAAGTGCTCCATCTAAAAAACGCCGCCAAAAACAACCAAGACCTATCGCTCCTCTTGGTCCTTTACCCAATCAACAACCGGTAACAACCTCTACTCAATCTCAATCTAATGTTAGTCATGATGCTCATGTATTCGTACAGTATGTAGTTCCAACTACTAATCCTGTTTCGGATACTGGTTCTCAACTTGTTTCTTCAAAACCATTGACCCGTCCTCGAAAAGATAGTATAGTTAATGGTGTAGTTTCTTCTTCACCTTCTTCTCAAAGACGTAGTAGAAAACTTAAGGAGGCTACCGTACCAAAAAGTTTTATAGATATGAATGAAGAAGAAAAAAAGATTAATCGATCTTCACCTGAAATTCCTTCTGAAAATCCTTCTTCAACTGACATTATAACAAATCAAAATCTTAAACGTGATTATTCTTGTCTACCTGAAACTCAAGTTGTTGATTCTGATAATAAGAGATATAAAGCATCTCAAGAAATTAATGATGGTTCAACTATGATGAATGATGTTATTGTATCTAAGGATGAAAATATTGAGACTGCTTTGATTTTAAATTCATTGAAAAATAATAACAATATTTGTGAAAAATCAATCCCTCTCATTTCTACAACTTCATTAGTTGTTACTAATGCCGACGTAGATATTAATACAAATGTTGTCGATAAGAATGTTATTAATACGAATGTCTTTGATATAAATATGGTTACAAATGTAGATATGAACGTAGTTAAGAATCTCGATGCTATTAACGTCAATACGAATGTAGATAAGAATGTTAATACGAATGTAGATAAGAGTGTCAATAAGAATGTCAATACGAATGTAGATAAGATTGTCAATAAGAATATCGATGCAAATGTCGATACTGATATCGATATGAATGTTGATATGAATGTCGATACGGAAATTGTTGCTACGAATGTTGTTACGGATGTTATTACAAATGAATCTATGGATGACCATGTTGCTACAAAGGTTAAAGAATTATCAATACATGAGGAGAAATATGTTAAAGAGGAGAATGATGATGACCCTCAGGTGAAATCTATTAATATTTCTCGTAGTGGTTCTTTTAACTCCTCTAAACGGTATCAATCTCCTGTTAAAAAGTCTTCTAAGAACATTGATAAAATGATTTATGATAATAATAACGTTGGTAATCGTGTTATTAAAAACATTGTACATATTAAACAAGAGCATATTTCAATAGATAATGCAGGAAATGATTCTGATAATGATTTAGCAATGGATGATGATTCGGACGATGAAGAGTTACCTAAACGAAAGCAATCTATAAATGATAAAAATGATAATGATAATAACGATCAATGGAATAGTGACGATATGGAAACAGAGGAAGAAGTTGAAGAAGAAGTTGGAAGTTTTCAAACCATTCCTTCGATAGGTGGTAATAATGATAATATAACATTGGTTTATTCATCACCTCCTTCATCGGCTTCTCCTTTGTTAGATACTAACTGTGTTAAGGTTGAGGATGTTAGTCGAGTTAAGGTTGAAGATGTTAGTCAGGTTAAGGTTGAAGATGTTAGTGTTAGTCGGGTTAAGGTTGAAGATGTTAGTCGGGTTAATAAGGTTGAAGATGTTAAGGACACTTCTATGACAGCAGGAAATTTGACCTCGATTACATCTACTGCTACTACTACTACCACCACTACCACTACCAACGCCACAAAACCTTCTATTCCAACTTCCCCTAATACAAATTGTAGTGGTAATATAACACGAAAAGCTTCATCTAGTTCAACATCTAGTCATGGTAGTAATAAATCAGATGTTTCAGATACTTTATCAGCATCACCTACAAACGTCAATGGTAATGGTAAATCTCAAAGACCTTATCCTACTAGACGTAGATCTACAATGAGAGACGATGAAAAATTAGAATTGGATGCAATAGAATGGGAAAAAAATATAGAGATTCCTCATCATATTTGGGATGAAACGTTACGAGTGTTTGAAATTGTAAAACATTCTAAAGAAATGAAGAATAGGCAACCTCATCGGAAAAGAAATCATATTCTTGCATCAATTCTTTTTATCCTTTGTAGACAGAATGGACTTCCTCGTACATTTGTGGAAATATGTAATGCAGCGTCTATTAGAAAGCAAGAAATTGGAACTTATTATCGTCTTATGCTTAAAGTATTTGAGAATAATGGATTAGGTGGTGGGTCTAATGGTACGGTTGATTCTGCTGAATATTTGGTAATTATTATTTTATTCTATTATTTTATTTTATTATTTTATTTTATTATTTTTATTTTATTATTTTTATTTTATTATTTGTTATTATTACCTTATTTGTTATTTGCTGTTACTTGATTTGTTAATTTCTAACAAGTATTTTTATAATTTACAGAAACGATGGTGTCAGAATCTTAAACTTCCGTCACATATACTTGATGCGGCTATTCATGTATACAGACAAGCAAGTGAATTGAATATCACAACAGGAAAATGCCCGGTTTCAGTTGGAGCAGCATCAATATGGTTATCAATTGCTTCGTGGAACGAGAGTCGTTCACTAATTTGGGGTCCAAATGGCAATGATGATCACGAACAAATAAAGTGTGAACACAAGGATGTTGCCGCAGTTGCTGGTGTAGTAAATGCCACACTTGTCGGTTGTTATAAGAATTTATTAAAATTCAAGGAAAAACTATTACCACCAGAATTTTTAAGAGAAGCAAAAACTAGGCCTCCAGATATTCTTAAAAGCGATATCATTGAGACTAATACTAGTAAAAATGTGAAGGATGAAAATATTGACAACAAAAAGATTACGAATAGTCCTTTATTAGACAACAATATTATAACTGGTAGTCCACCTCCTATGGATGACGTTGATAATTATAAAGAAGCAGGTTTGTTATTTATATACTTATTATTTATATACATGTATATATTAAATTTAATGATATATAATGATGTTGACAAATTTTTTTATTTTTTAAAGTAATAGAAGAGACAATAATATCGTCGCAAACAGTAAAAGACGAACAAATATCAATATCAACTATAAAGACTGAAGATGCATCTGATTCAGTAACAAAAATGAAACCAGATTCTTTTAGAGACAATAATGATGAAAAAGTATCGTTATCAATTAAACATGTAACAAAAGTTATAGAATCGGTGATTTCCGAACCTCAAGACGATGCAGATGATGAATTAGAGGAGGGAGAGCTAAGGGAGGAAGATGATAATATGATGATAGATTAGATAGGAAATGGGTAATATAAAATGTAAATGATAAATATTGTTAGAGTTCCAGATTTTTTTTTTGAGGGGGATCGATTTGTACAAAGTTTTCTTTTTTCTTTAAATTTTTTTTATTTTTTATTTTTTAAAAAATTAGTATATAGTAATATATTTTTCTTGCAGAATATTTTCATTATTTTAAACCATGTATAAGAATGTTAATCATAGCTATACATCATATGAATAATTTTATGAATATTTATTGTATTATTGTATTACTATATTACTTTTTACAAATAGCATTTGTTAAATCTTTATTTTTCACTTGTAGTGATATAAACACAATTTTTTTGAAATAATTGTAATATAATCAATTTTAACATAGGCAATGAAATATCATATAACAATGTTTAATACAATTCATTTCTTTTTCATATATATAAACACGTTTTCATTATCACAATGGTTTTAAGTGTTTACATGTTTAGTTAATTAATGTTAAACAATAATTATATATAGTAGATCAGATTAAGTCTAACCTATTTTTTTGGTGGTTCTTAACAATACTTAACACTATTTACCGCTATTTACCGCTATTTAACGCTATTTAACGCTTTTTACTGCTATTTAACGCTATTTGACATTATACTATTTAATACTAGACTGCCACTAGACTGGCATGGGAATTGGACCGGACTGGGTCCTGTAGATTTAGGAATATACGTTTAACGTTAAAAAGTAGATTAGTTTGCAGCAAATCACAAAATCCACGGGTCCCTGACATTTAATCTAACGATAGTAAATTATTTTACGTTTACAAATCGGAAGTTTTTTTTTAGGCAAGATCTTTATCACATGATAAAATTCCCGCATTAAAAGAAATTCTGGAGATGGAAATTTCATAAAAAGTACATACGTAAGTAAGTACGTACAGTACGTATCATTAAATATTAATAATCATAATACGCACCATAAAGTTAAGTAAATAAATGATACCATATTTACCTAAATTCCTTATTCAAATATTTGTTAAAAAGGACTTTTTTTTGTGTAATCTAAAGTTAGATTTTCTATGAATAAATGTATTATATAATAATGTGTTGATCAATACCATAACCATCATTTAAAAACTTTTTTTTTTTTTTAGAGTGTGAATAAGTATGAATGATATAACGATAGTATAATATATAATTGTATTACCGATAAATGAATTCATCGAAATTCTTTTAATTTTCAAAGAATACTCTCAAAGGGTTAATTTTGAAATATTTTCAAAGGGTTGATAAAGCACATGTGAACGCAGGATTTCAAAATTAGGGAGTTGATTAACATTATCGTTATTAATAATAACGATAATAATTTTAAAATCATTAATTAAAATGATTATTAATAATGAAATCACAATACCTAATATGTATCTATATCATAAACAAAATTCGAAATTCTAAAATAATGATGACTAAAATACAGATCGTTTCACAATCAATACATGATGAGGTAATTGATATGAGATATGAGAGGAAAAAAAAAAAAAGGTACGTATACGTAGATAGATAAATAGATGTTGACGCAATGAGCGTCAAAAAACTCTTGGAAAAAGGTAAAATGAACATATATATATACTCTAAATAAAACATCCAACAATGGATACGTAGTATCGATATCGATATTCAATATCGATATATGATATATAAATATATATAAATATATGTATAAATATATATATATACGTATAATATATATATTTATATATAGATATATATATGATTTTTCTTTTAAACTAAAACTATAAAATGCATATTTTCATTTTTATTATTTTTACATACGTATAATCCATTTTACTAAAGTTTTCATTTATGTATTAATCAGTTGACGTAGGGCAAATTCGGAAATATTTTCTTTGAACTTCCAATAATCGACTTTGTACATAATAAATGATCGGGGGCTGACTTGTTTCAATATAAATGTATATTTTTTTGTACAAGTTAAATTTACTGAAAAAAATGGTAATTGCAGCGCCCCACCCCTTCTCGGATCCTCTTTAGGGAAAAATTTCATGTAAACCATTTCGGAAACGACAAATGTAAGCCTCCTTCTAAAGAGTACCCAATGTAAATTTAGGGGGACTATCTCCTTTGTGCATCTTTTTGCAAATTCAATAAAAGCCCACCTTTAACGGCTTTGTAGACCTTCTCGAATAACAAACCTAAATTTATTTGTAAATACTATTTTTTTTTTTTTCGAATCTCGTTATATGCATAACAATAAACATATATATATATATATATATATAATATATAAATATTTGATAGGTATTATTGTCATTGAATTTTATTGATATACGATTCGATTTCTATCAATATCGATATATATCCAATAACGTACGTACATACATAATATACCGACATACACATCTATATATATATACCTAAATTAAAATTAGAGTTGTAATTTATTTATTCATTCAACCATGGTTCCCCAACCTATCACTACTTCTGATGAGAAAGAGCAAATCAGGTTATCTTCATTAGAATTACGAATCACTGAATTTGAAAATAGTTTCTTAAGAACTGCTAATGCTAGTTTAGAGAAACGAGTTGTAGAATTGGAAAATTCTTTAAAAGAATCCACTCAAGAATGTGTTAAATTACGAGAAATGATTGCTATAAGAATGGAAAATGATTCGGTTCATCATAAAAAGTATTTTAAAAAAAATGTTTCTGATGAACCTTATTACGGTTCTGAAAGTTCTGATAGTTCTGATGGTTCTGATGATTCTGAAAGTTCTGATGATAGTTCTCTTGAGTTCAATTCATCTAAAAAATATGAATTCGAAAGTGCATATGGTCGAATTGTAAAACTCGTTGAAGAAATGAAATCGGAAGGTGTAAAGGCAATCAATCTTAAAATTTCTTCGGTATCGAATTTACCTAAATTCCCTGCTAAAGTTAGTAATAGTAGACCTGGAACTCCAAAAAATCAAAACTCCATCACTTCTTCACCAGCAAGATCAAGGGCTTCAAGTGTGTCAAATATTTCAATTCCTTCAAGATCTAATACTCCTAGTGGAATAAAAATACCTTCGAGTGCTGCAAATGCTGCAAATGCTATCAATGTTACAAGTGCTGTTAGCAGTTTAAAAGTTCCAAATTTATCACCACCAAATTCTCATACTTCTTCTAGACCAACTACACCTTCTTCTACCCGTTCTACAAATATTATCAATCCGATACAGAATAATTCGGTTAATTCTGTATCAAAAATGCCATTACGATCAAGAACACCAATTTGGCCAAGTTGTACTAATTCCTCAAGACCTAGCACTCCAAACAATTCTAATACTTCTTCTAATACCCTTAACACTCAAAATATCCCTAATATTTCTATTACTCAATCCCCATTGTGCAACGATATTGCTTCTAATATACTTGATGTTGATCCTAGCATCCACTCTAATATTTCATCTGTTCTTGCTTCTAAATCTACTGGCATTCCAATGTACGCTCAGATGACCCGTAAACAAGCAATTGTTTAATATTATCTATAGGTATTTGTTGTTGATTTTGTTTTTGTGATCATAAATTTGTTTTTTATTCATATGCTGATCAAACAATTCATTTTTGTATAATGTTATTACAGGTGTAACTTTCGCTGAGTGCGTTGCGCGGGCGTCTTATCCCTCAGCTACTTAACCTATGTTCTTGTATGGTTCACATTAAAGGCCTCAAAAAATTACCGTACCAATCTTTGGTTAAGCTATCATTATGTCCTAAGAAATTTTAATTATCAGCTTGTTCAATATTGATCAATCTGCTTCCATCAAGATAGCATAATTTGCTTATCTTTACTGTGTAAAATAGAAAATTTAAATCCTAACTTGTATTTATATTATATATTTTTTATATACTTCCCTTTTGTGTAAATTTTTACGTTCATTCTTTTTTTTTCCCCCAATTATTACTTAGTAGTATTTTATTACCAAAATTTAACAACATATGTATATAAGCTTTTATAACAGATAATTAATACGAAATTTCTACGTAAATATTCAAGTGTTTCAAAAAAAAAGAATTTAATTAGTACAATAGTATTAAGTTTTTTTTGTTTTTTTTTTAAACACTACTTTGTATTCATAAATTCAATAGTTTTATTATTATATTTTTTTTTTTTTAGTAAATATATACAAGAATAAATTTTTAGGCCAAAAAAAAAATTATATATGTAGTCATAATTTTATCAAAAAAATCGATTTATTTATTTAGATCTTTATTTTTTCTTGGACAAAATTTAATATCTATATCTTGTATGTTTCCAGATTAAAGCTACCCTGCAACTTTAACTTTGTTTCTAATTCATGCAATCTTCCTAACTGCTAACAATTAGTCAATAAGTCAATTAGTCACTAAGTACGTATACTCTAATCGAAAATTTTGCTTAGTTCTTTGAATTCAATTGCGTTGATCACATTAGTTTTTGCTTCAATTCAACGACCAAATGTAATCGACAATCATGTGGGTTATGTTGATTATGTGAATTATGCATACTTCTTTCTTTTTTTTATAAAAAAAAAGGTTGAATGATAAACGCAGTGTAACTCCGGTAAGATAAATGCACATGAAAGTCAAAGGAAAAAAAAAAGATGCGGGGAATGGCGATTTGTCTGCATGAAGATATTATAATTTAATTTCAGTCGGTAGAAAATCATACCGATAAAACAATGTCGGTCCATTATTACTTTCGAGTTAATCTAAAAAAAAAAAAAAAAAAAAAGTTTTTTTTTTATCCAGTAAAAAGTGCACCATACCATATATGCACATTTATTGGATAATCTAATTTTGATCGACGGAACTATTAGAAGTTACATCCTATTATCATCGATTAATACACTCATATCCTAAGTACGTTTGTAATGTCTACCTGTCTACGCACCTACGTATGTACGTACGTGCTGGGTATGTAGATAAGGCGCAACTATTATTACCTTTAAGGTCGATCTAACAATGAATCTTTTTAGGCTTTTGAACGGGCTGAAAGGTACATTGTATGCTTATCTGCAGGAGAAATAAAGAATGTTTGACTATTTATGTATATCTATTAACTTAATTGAATTAGGCGTTGTATTTCTAAAAATTATAAATAGAATGGTCTGAAAGAGATCACAATATCTGAATAAACGTCCATTGTAAATTTTCTTTTCTTTTTAATAACCATGGCTTGCTCGTACCTTCATGTGAAACTTAAAGGTTGAGATATCATTATGCATGCCTATATATGTAATGTGATGATGCTGTCACGCAATGCTAGGGTTGTCGAGAACAATTTGATAATATTTGGTGATTATTATAATAGTGTTTGGATATTTTTTAGTTGTTTTTGATATTTGTATAGTATTAGATTCAACTATTTAAATTAAATACAAAAAAAATAAAAATATAAATAAAAATAAAAATAAAATAGATAAAATTATATTATCTTGATGCAAGCAACTTCTTTTATTGTAATTGATTAAATAAAAATTTTTAAATTTTAGCCATCATTTTCCTGGTACCTTTAATCCAACACGATTTGCTGTTAATTCTACGCGTTTTTCTTCTGATTGTCCGTGAGTTGGATTATATAACGTTAAAAGCTCCTTTTTTAAGATATATTTATATTTAAATATATAATAATTATATAACAAAGATTAATAAATATTAATAAACATTAATGAAATATTTATTATTATTAATAAATAGTAGCATCCCAAATTTTAAATCCTTAATAATCAGCTAAGATTAAGACCAGTTTTCTTGAACCATAATTTCCTAATTTGGATTCTTGTAAATATCTCAAACGTCGGTATAATACCTCAAACATTGGTATCATGTCTCAAACATTGTTATCATGTCTCAAACATTGGCATTCTGTTGGCTTGATTGGTAGTTACCAATGTGTGAAATTCAATGTTCTCTGAGAACACAAAAATTTTATTATATATATGTTCTTGTGAGAATATAAAATTAAATTAGAATTTCACACACTAGTAGTCCCCAAATTTTAGGAAATCGAAAATTGGTTCGAGGAAACCTAATTTATAATTAACCAATAAAAAATATACATTATGCCTGCGGTTGCTTTTCAAAAAGCTTAATACATCTTGCGCATCTTGATTTAATTTTTGTGATACTTCAAGATTCGTGATATCTTTGTTTTTTTTAAATGCTTCTATTAATTGTCGCTTCCAATATTGATTATTATTCTGTGATGTAAACTTTTAAATAAAATACTTATTTATTCATCTTATTGAAATACTATATATATGTGTATATATTTGAATACCAATTATTGAATTACCTGCTTGTTTATTTCTTTTAGTAACTGTCGATAAGTTGAAAGTATTACATATTTCTCATTTGTGACAGCTGTCATCACGATCACGATATAATATCAAAAAAATGTCTTAAGTTCATTTTTTCATTATATACTGCACAATGTAGTACAGATCTGTTTCCGTGATTATCACCAGATAAAAAAATCCAGATAAAAAATTCGCGTGGTATCAAGATTTCAAGATTTTACTATTCGAACATTCGATTTTTCTTTAATGTCTTGTTTTTCATTTACATTATTTTTAATCAGGCTTTTTCCATTGGAACTATATTAGGTCAATAAAAAAGGATGACTTGAATTTTCTTGATTTCGCCATTTATTAGCGTTAGTAATATGTAATGACAAATTCCAATTCCCTGAAACAGTTTTTAATGCACAAAATAATTTTTTTACAAGTACGTAAACCATAAATTAGTAACAAAAATAACCTGATGCGCGTCTAGTAAATATCAATCAAAACATATTTATTACCTTTCTTATCATCCTGTTTTAGTTCTAAAACGGATTATCGTCTTGTTGTAATAAAATAATAATGTATACATACATAAAAAAAAATGTTATTGCAAGTTTGCTTTTTTTGGTTTTAATATGTATATCATATTTAAAGTCTAGAGTTAGTGCATATTTACGGATGATTCCGCTATATATATGGCGTAGTACATCGTATTGCGGCTTGGCTGAAGTACCTACTTAACATCTGACTTGTTTTTTTTTTATACGTAGTATATACGATGTATTAAAAAGGTTAAAATGTTTTCACCAATTAAATGCTAAAAAAGTCAATACCGAAATATTTCATAACATGCCTTAATGGTTTCAACATTATCATTACCGTTACGTATTCGTTATTCACGCGTAATAAAATCGCTGCGTCGTTATTATATCATTAATTGAGGTACGTAATTAATATATATTAATATTTCATAATATTTGTATACCAATAACGTAGTAAAAATATATACTACACATATAAAGTTAGATTCTCATTAAAATGTTTTATCCTAATAATTACGTAGTCTGTTTTTAGCAAACACTAAATCGTATATATGTAATTCATTTTAATGTATATATCAGTATATATACAGATAAAATTAAATACGTAAAATATGTATTTATATTATTATTGCAGTATAGAACAGCATAAAGATATTCACAATTCATAAAACGTTCATAAAACGCCAAACCAATCCAAGATACCCACTTTTCATATGTATGTAAAATGCCAAAAAGCCTTATTAAAACTAGGTTAAAATTACATGATAGTTAATTTTGATTGGTTTACCGTTACTCTGTGATCGATAGTTGATTTTTAATAGAAGATAGGCGTCACGTTCCAAACTTATGTATAAACTTTTATTAAAAATTTTTATTTTAAAAAATTTATAACTGGAAACGCCCACAGCAAAGGAGGAGATAGCACTACTTTATATATTATAGTCTTAGACGTCTTTTTTTTTTTGCTGATTACCAGTCAGGAAATATGTTACATCTATTTATATATAAGTGTTAGTTTACAATATAGAAACATATAAATTTACTATAACTTTAAGCATTATATTATTTTTAGCTTACAAGTTATCTTGTTTTTAAACTTTAGGATTAAGTATGTTGAATAAAATTATTTAAATCATTTTAAAATTTTGTAAAAACTATTAACAAAATGTTATTAAAACTGTATTCATCTATAAAATTTATATTAAACCAAGTTTATTTATAAGGCAAAAAAGTGGATTTTAATAAAAAAACAAGTTTATAATATATATAAACTATTTAAAAAAAATTAAAAAATATATTATATTAAAATATACTATATAATTAATTTAATTGTTATATAATATCAAATAGCAAAAAATATTTATTTTTTTTTAAAAAAAAAAAAGATGTTAAATTTTAATTTTAAATTTATTTTTTTGTTTTTATAAAGGTCAATGTTAACAGCAATTATTATCTTTATTGGCTTTTAATAATATATATATCAAGTGTGGTGACTTAGTGAAATGAATAAGTTGTCAATCTCTCAAGTAGTAAATTAGGAGTTCAAAACCTACCAATAGTGAAAAATTTAAAAAACCACTTATATTATATTGGTATTATAAAAGATAAGTGGTATTATAGCAACAGCATTTTGTCAATTAGTTGAGATCAGATACCTATAACATAGTTACA